AAAAGAAAAGAAAAGAAAAGAAAAGAAAAGAAAAGAAAAGAAAAGAAAAGAAAAGAAAAGAAAAGAAAAGAAAAGAAAAGAAAAGAAAAGAAAAGAAAAGAAAAGAAAAGAAAAGAAAAGAAAAGAAGGTGAGGGGGAAATACCAGCAAAACTTAATTCAAAGTGGCTTTAAAGATAAGTTTGACACCTAAAGAAAAAGCAGGATGTGAGGAGGTCATGGTGAAACTGCAGATGAAATCTGGCCAGTACTTTTGGTTTTATTAATAATAATACGTGATACCGTAGTTGGTTTAGGAAAGACTCCTAACACCTAATGGGAAATCCCAAATAAAACAAGATTTTTCCCTGTACTTCCAACAGGACTCTATGTACCCAGATGCTGTGGGCTGCATTTTCCGCTTTCCCAGACTCTTAATCAATCTGCATCAGAGCCCAGAAACATCAAGTGCTGCTGAATCAGAGCAGTCTCACCTCGCAGTCACGGTGCGCTGACTTTTCCCGGGCAGAAATAACTTCACAAAACGTAGGACACGCAGGAATCAGTCCATGGCATTAACATTTCCATTTATATTAATACAAGCTGCATTTTGTATTCCATTATATTTATTTAACCTTTGTACTTCTTAGCTCTGGGTCAGTTTGCTCTTTATAACAGTGCATTTCTTCCTCAGTTTTGTTTCTATATTTAGAGAACTCATGCTCAGAAACAAGATTTTTTGTTTAATTCCCACCCCCCCCAGGATATTTAATCTAGCTCAGGGGTTTTGGTGTTTCTCTGCAACCTATAATTCACTCTGCCAACTCAGATACTGTATTGCTGCTTTTACCGCGGTTCAAGAAACACTGTCAAGTCCTTTTCAAAGGTTTTTTCAGTCTTCAGCGTGTTCTTAACTATCTCGTAGGCAGTCCGCATGTAGTAAAATAGAGCCATTTCTACTGCAAATGATACTGTTTGCCTCTCTGACTCTTCTCCTCTCGTTTTTCCTCTACCATCATTTTTGGCAATGGAGCTGAAACAAACATATCCCTCCCTGACAATCGGGTGTACAGCTATCTGAGCAGAGCTCTAAGAATAGCACATTTGGTTCCTACAGTGCAAGGGCAGCAGCTCAGAAATGCCCGCCGTGTCCCACCCAAACAATGGGTATTTATCAGCTACGTCCCCCCCCCGACAAAACAAGCTTTCAAGTTGTGTTTTGGTTTTCAACATTTTAAACGCGGAGCAGCGGGCAATACTGCCCTCCTCCCCGAGACTCTCGAATTTTAACTTGGGCTTGGAAAAGCAGTGGCCACCCAAAGGGTTTCTTTTACCCCAGCCTGACTGACACTGCAGTTCCCAGCTCGTTTTCCTGCCTTCGGGGAAAGCCTCCTTTCCGTTCGCAAAGACCCGTGTCTGTTCTTACACTGGCAGGAGTGAAAGAAGAGCTCTTCTGGAAGTGGTGGTGTATCAGCATTGCTGAAGGCAGAACTGGGCCCAATCTATCTGACATGCCAGGGGAGAAGATCTGCAAGTACAAGCTGTATTTAGACATGGAAATCAGGGAAATGCCCAACTATTTAACCTGCCTGGGCAAATGCAGCTTTTCACGCGCCCAGAAACAGCCAATAAAGTCAAGTGGCTAAGCTTAAGCCCAGGAAATAACGTGTGATAGTTTGGGAGACTATCTTTGACTCTCTGGCATTTACTACCATCTTTATATTGTGGATTTATGGGGCCAGACCTTTGAGTATAATCTCACTCAGCACGCATCAGTCCTGCATGCGTGAAATGGAAACCTGCGTGTATCCACGGGAGCAACGGTCGCACCACCAGGCTTTGCGCTATCGCACAACGCAAACCGCCAGCGCCTCAATCGATACCCGTCAATGCTCAACAGTGAGGACGTAGCACTTCCGATAGGAGAAGATTAGCCCCTATCAGATTTACCACTTGTCCAGGCAATACAGGAGCTGGGATGCAGACTGGTTACACTTAAGAGATATATCTCTTAACGGACACAAACTGGAACACAGGAGGTTCCACTTCAATTTGAGAAGAAACTTCTTCTCAGTGAGGGTGCCAGAGCACTGGACCAGGCTGCCCAGAGAGGTTGTGGAGTCTCCTTCTCTGCAGACATTCAAAACCCGCCTGGACGCCTTCCTGTGTAACCTCATCTGGGTGTTCCTGCTCCGGCAGGGGGATTGGACTGGATGAGCTTTGGAGGTCCCTTCCAATCCCTAACGCTCTGGGATTCTGTGATATCATTAAGTACAAAGATGGTAGAGCTGTGAGGCATCACCAGTGGTTCCCCAGGTTTTGGAATGTGGAGTCTTTGCTTTAACACGCATCAAGAAAACAGCAAAAAGCTCACTCTGGGTCTATGTCCTGGCCGCTGCGCTCTTCCCTGTGGTGCTCTGCCTGCTACAGGGATCACACTTCATGGTTTATTCTTCTCCCTCCAACTGGCCACCATATACATTCTTTCCCTGCACAAAGCTGCACCTCTTGCTCAAAAGGAGAGACAACTACGCCTTCTTTTTATAAATGTTAGTCACATTTACAAACACACACAGAGTAAGGGGATGACTTTTAAACATCAAACAGTATTTCTGGGAACGCTGTTATTTTCCTTTGAGCAAATTTCTGTGAATGAGGCTAAAAAAAGACCTTTTTTTTCCACCAGAAGGTTACTAATTTTTGAAGATGCAGCAGTTGTCTCCCTGGTCTTCTGCATTTTTAAAATTTTAATGAAACGACTGCTCTATGCTTGAAAAGTTTTATTCATCACCTGCCTTGGGAGAGAATTGGCCCTGAGATTCTGCAAAGCTCAAATGGAGCTGAACACCGCTGAAAATCAAAACCACAGTCACTGGAGCCACTTCGCTATAATGGAGTAAAACTGGTCCACAGCAGGTTGGGTCCAAAATTTCAGCATCAATGTCTCAATGGAAACAAGAAACCTATTGCAGACAAATAACAGACCTACGTGCTAGATTCAAAGGAATGCAAGTACCCCAGAATTTTAAAGTTTCTTACCTAAAATATTTTTCCATGCCATTTGTCTCAATCAGGATCCATTTTCTTCTACGTGATTTGCAGCAAAGTTATCAAAACCTAACAAAATGTTCCACTCCTGAACATCCACCATCTTTCTTCAGTAGCTCAACAGACTGTAAAGCTGAAGCACTGTCATCTGGTGTATAATTATTGTAATAAGTCTTATAAAATGAGGGAGGCACCATAAGCTTACCTAACTAGTCTGAAAATGTGAAATGCTCATCACCTGTAATCACTGTCCTTGATCTTTACTGATAGCTGCCAAATTGTAATAACTCTCTCTCTCCAACGGTGAGAATCGCCTAAAATTGCAGCAGAGGCAGAGCAAAAGTTGCTGCAAGAGGAGCCATTTTGGCCAATTAAAAAGACTTGCTGAAAGAATTCTCCTCTTTTATTTTTTTTCTGGCTAATCGATGATGTAGGGGTTCAGATGTACACGAGGAAAATGCAAAGCAGGGAAAACCAGAGCACAGGAAACCTCAGGAACCCAACAGGGATGTGGCAATTCCACACACGCAGCGGGGGAGCCAGAAGAAAAAAATATATGCTCTAAGATTATGGACACATGATCAAAAGCGATCATGGTGCTGCAGTCAACAATTTATGAGCCATCATCCAAGATGCAGTAAAACACAGCAAATGTATTCTTCACCCACACTGCCTCTAGAGTAGCACATCTGATGGGCAGTAATTCATGAAGCTGCAGGAACTCACTCTCAGTCCTATGTCCATAGGAAATGCATCTCATTGATTTACCACAAAGAAGCTGACATTTAGGAACTATCCCCTTATTTCTCATTGCTATCATAGGACAAGGGTACACCAAGTCACCTACGTTGAAGAAATCCACCTCTAAAGAATCGGTCACTTAGCAGGGAAGAGGAGCAAAGAAACCCAGGCTCTGGAGTGCATTCCCCAGCCAAGCCCCACGCTCGCAAGCAGAGCTTCAGAGCCTCTGGTTTGCTGGGTGAGAAGTGTCTCCATCCTTCATGAGGAGCTGATGGAGCACCCGTGTGCACAGCAAAGCGGCTTGAAGGACTCTGCTTCCCAAGTGCTGGTTCAGCCTAACAAGGTGCTTGGCTTCGGTGGGGAGGATTCGATCTGTTTCTTCCTGTTCCTCCTAACAAAAAGATAGCTCTTTATTCCTCACACCCTGCCTGCTCTCAGACTGAGCCCACAAGCCCTTCCTTGCTCTCAAGTCCCTGTTCACAGTAAATCTCTCCTATTTAGGGTAGTAGCAGGTCGTGCCTCACACCACTCCTTGACTCTCAGGGAGAAGGTTGCTAGAGAGAAATCAGGGCTGTGTCCTGCTCCTGCCAGTTGCATTTTTGCATTTACCAGCTTGGTTGGTATCGCAGATCAACAAAGGGTGGGGAATGGCTCTCATCCAAAGCAGGGCATTGCTTCTGGCAAATGCTGGTAACAGGTATTTCAAGTCTCTTGCTATCCGGGAGCTGTTCTGTTTGACCTGCTGTCCGTGAAGGAGTCATACTTAAACTTCACTTTTCACTCCACCTGATCTTTTCTAGCTTCAGAAGCACAACACAGAGACCAATTTGTTGAAGGGCACTAAGAAAAAAAGTATATTCCCACTAAAAATATGATGGGAAACATACTATGGGAACATATCTATAGTTTACAATATAAGCTAAATAAGGATACCACCTATGCATGTCAAAACTATTTTAGTGGTATGAAATCTGTTTTGCCTAACAACATAAAGTTCTCCACTGGGCTAGAAGAGACAACACATGATTTAATTACAGAGTATTTCAACTGAAGAAATAAATAAAGTTACCGCTGAAAACGCCAGGATGTTGTTACCGCCTTGTCCCCGTATACACGGCGCACACCCCAGAAGTTTAGCAGTGTCTCATTTGAAACACAAAGGAAAGTAAAAATAAGAGACTAAATGACTCAGTATTTTCACATAAGCCCTGTAAGACAGAAGAGACGTTCTCACCTGTCTGCTTGGAGACGGCAGTGCGGCAGGCTGCATGTGTCTCTGCATCCGATGGGGCTGCATCAGCTGTCGAAACTGCTGCTGGAGAAACTGGCTGTTGTTCGCCTGCTGGGACTGCTGTGCGGCTGGGGACTGCTGCTGCTGCTGCTGGAGATAGTGAATGAGAGACTGCTGTCCTTGTCCTGCTGTCAGGGGTGACATCTTTTGAGTAGCTGACTCTGAGGCAAAGTGAGACAGTGGTTTGGTGTTATTGAAAGAAAACTGGTCCTGGCTAACAGGGCTCTCATTCACCAGACCTGGCTGTAAGCTACTGGGTGGCTGTTGCATAATTATGTTCATATTTTTGGACTGGTTTGTAGTCATTGATTTAAAAAGCGAGCTCTGCATACTTGTGGGGTTGCTGGTGGGAGTGATGTTAGAGATTAATGTACCTTGAGGACTGAAGGGCTGCTGATGCAGAGCTGGGCTTGACAGCTTTTCTGGCCTGTACGGTGGAGAAGGTCCAGTATTTGTGGAGGCCATGCTGGCAACCAGGTTGTTCTGTGGACTTTTAATGTTGTTGGCTGGTAAACTGGCTGCTGTTAGGGTGGGCAGCATGGAGCTCTGTGGGCTGAAGGGCTGCTGGTTCAGAGCCGGACTGGAGAGCTTCTCAGACCCGTAAGGAGGAGAGGGCCCATTGGATGGGGTGCTGCTGGAAGTCATGCTCGAAAGCAGAGTGTTTTGAGGACTCTGAATGTTGTTTCCTGGCAAATTATTAGCAGGCATGCCAGACACCATAACATTTTGAGGACTGAAAGGTTGATGGTGTGGGGATGATCCTGCCCTGTAAGGTGGAGAGAGACCAGGAGGAGACATAGTTGGCCAGCTGGGAGCCTGTACCTGTTGCTTAGTAGTAGACACCTGTTTGCTGGCTGCCAGCTGCTTCAGCTGCTGCGCGTGCCAGTTGGAGCCAGGGATGTTGGGTAAGGGCACTGGAAGCATTGGTGGTGGCTGGTTCTTGCTCTGAGCTGCTGTAGAGATGGGTGATGCAGCAGGTTTGTTTGAGGGAGGAACCTGGAAGTTAGCTCCAGCAGATGATGGTCTCATCTGAGGAGATCCTCCGCTAGCTGGATTGCAACCCGGAGAAAAATCTTTGTTAGCAACGTGGTTGTCCAAGTGGGAAGTCTGTGGGGACGACTTCGGAGTGGTAGTACTTATGCTTGCTTGGGAATGACCCAGCCCAAGTGGCTCTTCAGCCTTGCTGCACAGAATTTTCTCCAGATCCAGGTCGTTGGGAGAAGGATCAGGCATTTTCGTCAGCTCCTCCAATAGATCTTGCAGCTCTTGGTCCACAGACTGCAAGCTGTTTCCTTTCTCATCGTAGTGGACGATGTTATTGTTTTGCCCTCCTATTGACGCCTTCTGATTTATTTCTGCGTTGGGCGGCACTGAGAACGGGGAACCAATGCCACCGCCATTCAGGTGGTTGTTTTCGAGGAGCACCGAATGAACTGCGACTCCCAGGGAAGGAGTGCTGTGACTGGTGGAGAACGGGGAGCTTTGCATGTCCGGACACCCCACGTTGGGGTTGGCACCTTGGCCCATGGCAAGGTTTACGTCGTCAAGACAAAGTCGTTTACTGTCATTTGGAAAAATGACATCAGGCACACCACTGGAGGCAGGAGAGCTGTCATCTTCCAGTTTTCTTTTAATGGATCCCTGTAACTGGGAAAATAAAAAAAGGAAGAAGGAAGGATCAGCTATTGACCTTATTCTAACACGCTCTGAAGCTCCGTACTGTAACACTGGGTTGGAGATAAAGAAAATTAAATCATACAATTAAAAAACCAATCATGTGAGACAAATTCAATCAGGATTTAAGTGGGTGCAACTTCACTGAAATCAAAAGAATTATAGTCAGACAAAGGCTAAATCTCACATGTTGGCATTAAAACAGATGTTAGAGCTATAAAATACTGTCTGTCATGTGAACTGTAATGGGAGTTTTTGAAATAGTTTCTGGTACCATTTCAATTAAGACATTATACTCCCTGAATAACAAACATGCCAACATTTTTATGGTAACATTTTTTAGGTCTAAACAATGGCAGATCCGAATGAAACCCTGGACTGAATTTAGTGACCTTCTGCCAGTGACTCAGATTAAGTTCAGACCTGAGACAACGAAATTGTTTTACATTCTTTATAGGCAGAACATCTGAAATAACTGGCATACTTTCTAAACAAACCAAAACAAACCAAATTCTCAGCTATCTATCTAAACAGACTTTCAGGCTTCCTAATCACAGATGGTTTAGATTTCAGAAACCAGTAAATAACAGCTAAACCTCTTAATTTTTGTTTATTCTTCTAAGTCTGGGCTTTGTTCTTTTGAAGGATCGCAAATCATTCACAAAAATGGCAGTGTTTTCAAAATACAATTATATAAATATCTTGATCTACAAGAAATGGTAGAGTTGTAAATCCACAGATCTTAGGGAAAAAGCCTGCCTTATACAGATAAAGAAAGTTAAACTGAAAGCAACACTTCTAATACTAATTCAGCGTGATACGGCAATCTCTTTCAAATATAATCATCTGTGGCTTTCAATTTTAACAAGCATGACCTGTATGTCATAGGATTAATCAGACATTAACACTGCTGCTTCAAGTCAAGGAAAATAAGCCTTATGTCCTTGTTTATCATAGAGGGAGGTGGCATTCAGAAAAGGATCTCAACAGCAATGGGAAAACCATAGAAAGTCACCGTTCCTCTAAGCTGGCTCACAGTGAAGCCTCCCCCAGCCCTGGCCCACAATTGCAAGTGCTGCCAGTCATCTGGTACCACAAAAAGAATTCACATGTAATAACAGCTCGTATCACCTGAAAAACCCCACCACTTAACCCAGTGTAAGCAGATCCGCTCCAGGGCTGTGGTGAGGATGACTGCCGTCTAAATTTTACACTAATTATTCAGCACATCACAGTTTTGCCTAAAAGTCCCTATGCAACGGCCAGCATCTTTGGTGCTCTCAGAAAACGGCGTCACAGGACGACCACCACAGGGTGTGCGGAGGCTGCAGGGCACAAGGTGGGCACACCTCGTGTGGCTTCTTCTGCAGTGTGCGCATGAAGGTCACTGTGCAAATGGGCCGTGTCCACCCCTACGTTCAGCCTATCCTCAGGCAACTGACCCCGAATGTGCTTTGTTCTGGCCTGGGAACATGGGAGAGCTGCCCAGTGGCTCACTCAGCTGGACTCAGCCAAGTGCTCTCTCACTGCTTATTTCTAAATTGGTGGGCAGAGAGAAGACAGTGGATTTGTGCTTACAGCTGCTTGGGCTACAGATGCAGTTTAGGATCAGTACCAGACTAGCATCCAGCTTACACTGGCATTTGGAGGAGAGCAAGAGGATACAAGTTAATTGTACGTGATCACCATGGCAGATGGAAAAGCAGGTCTGCGTATTATGGAGAGCTGCTAATCAGGTTTTAGGAGCTCACCTACCCACCGTCAACACACACAGCAGTTTTGAGTGGCACTGTGGCAAAGAGACCTTTTTACACTTACACGTTTCCCTTACCCTCCAAGAGTCATTATCTCTCACTAGGGCAATCAGTGCTTCTCTCCGGTGACCTCCAGTTGCATTGCTTTAACACGGGTTGCACTGAAAAACCACTGCCAGGTGAGAACCGACGCTGAAGAGGGAGAGCTGCTCTCAGTACACCAGTCACTGGTTACCTGGCAGCCCTCTTCGGCCAGCAGGGCCTCGGGTGGTTTGAACCACTGCTCTGTGAGAGACTGCCTTCACATCACAGCCAGAGACAGCTGAAGCACCAGCGATTCGATTATTCCTCTGGGCTGATAAGGCCAAAATTTGCTTAGCTTTAGGAAATGGAACAAGGCCTAAATCTTCTCCCAAGTGTTGGTCTAATGATGGATGAAATTGTTTTCCTTAATTTTCTTTGATAAAACTAAGCCAGAGTTGCATGTTTCAACAGATGTTGCCCTGTGTAGGCTGAAACATGTTGGTAGAGCATAGCTACATATATTTAAACCCAGACATGTATAGAGAATCTTTACAGGGGCTTCACACATCCAAAATAAACACAGCGTGTTCCCAAATCACACCCTGGGAACCTTCAGGCAGGAAGTGGTGGGGGATCTCCCATTCTTGGCCAGCTGACATGCTGGCATGCGTGTCCTTGCCAGTGCTGCTTTTGCCATAGGACATTCCTGTGCTCTGAGTTACTGGGGAAAAATTTGGCTTTCTAAACAGTTTGAAAAACAGTTTTTTAACCGTTGCACTAGGGAGTAAATGGGATGGGAAAACAAAACTCCATTTCCCCAAGACTATTGCTAGATATAAACAGATAAAGTAAGGCCATTGCTTTCAGATGGCATGGGCACTCCATGGGATAGGGTTTTTAAAGAGGATGCTGTTGTTTAGCCACCACGAGAAGCCTGGCTGTATGAGAGGCAGTGAAATTATCTGGGTGTCATGTTCTCTTGGAAAGCAAAACTCCTGTTTCCCAGGTGAATATTTGCAGGATCATAAAATCTGGAAGACCAGTTTGCTCTAGTGCAGGCCGGTATAACTCCATGCAATTCAGTTGCATTGCTTTTGCTTAAGATAGACTTGACTACAGCCCCAGATTTGAGAGAGAAAGATACCGTCCTTAAAGCAGCTGAACAAATCACAGAATAATTTTGGTTAGAAGGGATGTGTGGGTATCATCAGCCCTCTGCTTCAAGCACATCAGAAAGGAAACCAATAGACAACAGTATTTCAGCAGGCACTTAAGTATGGAGTATCAGTTACATACAGAGATCCCTTCTTGGGCCGGTCGGGCCAGCTGAGGAGGTTGCTCCAGTTGTCCCCATGGACGCCCTGGTGGGTGTCTCTGCCACACAGCACGCTCTGCACTGGGGCTCTGTGAGGAGCCAGCACTGTCCTCCCCAGCTGCCAGCGAGTGCTCTCCATCAATGTGCCACTGTGGCAGCCCTGAGCGGTGCAGGGGATGGTAATGCTGTTTTATATTGTGGGGACGCTGGCTGGCTCAGACATGCCAAAACAGTGGTGGCAGGAGATTATCCCTGAGGCACTCACTTTTAGGACCAGGAGCTCCTGACCTAACTAATTCAAGAAGCTGCTTGTTGCAGGTCATTCATACAGTACTCTTAGATATCTCAAGACCATCTCTTTGAAGCCTGTCTATCCTTTTCTAGATTCTTCCCTTGCTAAAAACAATTTTACTGTCCCTTTCCTTCATCTGGCCCTGGATTCCCCAGGAAGGAGCTGAATTATTCCAGCTCTTTCTCCTCCTCTTCAAGAGGGCTTACGCTATTTGACAAAATCGATAGAAATTAGAAGAGCACCAAAATATGTTCTTCCTCTTTTTCTCCTGATTAGTATATTGGGGAGCTCTGTTTCAAACTGAATACCTGAGAAGTGAGTAGAAATACTTCAGCAACACACACACACACATGCTTAAGTTGGCTGGAGGCTGCCTGTGGCTAAGTATGGGGAAAGCTTCATTCATACGTGCAAGCAAGGACGAAGCAGACAAGCAACAAAGGGCTCCTGTGACCTTGTCAAAATTCATTAAAATGCAGTGGCATGCACAGGCTAACTTCTGTTTGGGAACACCTGGGAAACAAAGGCAGGCCCTCTGATTTGGGGAATACCCGATTATGGGTTCTTCATTTCTCAGGTTTGCTTTGAGAAGCGAGAGTGCCATGATCCCAGCACTACTGCCTGCTCAAACCCAACAGGCTGTGTTTCTTGGAAAGATCCAAGTGACAAACAAGGAGCACTGCTAACTCGCAATGGCAGTACAAGAAGAATAAATAGTAACCGTTTATCCTGCCCTGTCCAAGGATGCTCTACAGCTGCAGTTACAAATATCTAATTTCCCACACGCTACCTCTTTGCACAGAACCGATTCCCCATGTGTGGGCAGAGCGCTCCGCAGCCTTCTCTTGTGCAAGGAACAAAAGGACTTGGCAAGCAAAACCAGTTCTGGGCTGCACTCTCTCCTAGACTGGGATCTCTGAGGTTGCCCACTTGGGTGACTTTTGGCATCGGGCACTTTCCAAACTCGGTGGTGATGCTGGCCTTGAGTAACTTATTATTTCTCAACAAAGGGAGAAAGGAAGGCTGGAAGTGGCAAAACCTAAAGCAGAGAGATCAAATTGTTAATAAATACACACTGTGGTGATTCCATTGGGTTTTAATCAAATGGGCATCTCTGGACTGACTCGCTGACTCCCTCCTTTCCTTCAGACATCGGCTGTCCTCAGCCGCCGCTCCAGCGCTCCACGTGAGCCAAACTGCCCCATGGCCCTGCTGCCAGCCCCTGTTAAGTCTCCAGCCGTCACTTGCTCCTTCGCCTGGATGCTATCTGCAAGGAAAGAGCCACCACGGCCCGCTCGGGAGAGCCTCACTTCTCCAGCCCTGCAACAATCCCTCTTCCACCAGAAAGAAGCCAGATCTAACCAGAGATCCCTATTTAGGTCAACGTAATGCAGAAATGAGACAGAGGAAAAACGTTAGGCGAGGCATTTCTGTGCCTCTTCCTGGCTTCTGCAGCCTGTCAGAGATGTGAGCCCTGATTATTGATCTGCAACCACCCCACCCCACTCACTGCCATTGAGAGATCCAACCTACAGCAGCGATTCCCACACCTACGCAGCTTCTTCAAGCGAAAACTGAGACCGACAGG